ATATATATATATATATATATATTAGAAATAACTTAGATATTTCACAAGGAGATAATAATTAAATAATCATGTAGAATCATAAGTTACAATATTAAGGGGTCATAAAAAGCTACATTTTTAGCAAATTTTAATGTCAAGAGAAATATTAAGAGATGTGGGAAAATTAAGTAGTCTATAACTGTATATAAAGTATCCTAATTTTGTAAATTTGTAAATACGCATATATGTGTGTGTGTGTGTGTGTGTGTGTGTATGACAGAAAAATATACATATATGACAGAAAAAAATATATATATATAACAGAAAAAAGCCTGAAAGCCAACACATCAAAATGTTAAAACAGTAAAGTTGGGCACGGTAGTTCATGTCTATAATCCCAGTGACCTGGGAGGCTGAGGCAGGAAGATTACTTGAGGCTGGAAGATTACTTAAGGTTGGCAGTTCAAGACCAGCCTGGACAACACTGTCTTAAAAAAAAAAAAATAACTGGGCATGGTAGCATGTGCCTGTGGACTCAGCTACTTGGAAAGTTGAGGTGGGAGGATCTTTTGAGCCCAGGGATTGGAGGCTGCAGTAAGCTATGAATGTGCCACTACACTCCAAACTCAGCAACAGAATGAGATCTCATCTTTTATTTTTTAGGGTTGGAGTCTCACTCTGTCACCCAGGCTGGAGGGCAGTGGCACACTCCCAGCCACCACAGCCTCTACCTGCTGGGCTCCTGCGCTTCTTCTGCCTCAGCCTTCCAAGTAGCCGGAACTATAGGCAAGTGCTACCATGCCCAGATAATTTTTGATTTATTGTAGAGACAAGGTCTCACCAAGTTGCCCAGGCTGGTCCCGGACCTGCGGGTTCAGACAATCTTCTTGCCTCGGCCTCCTAAAGTGCTGGGATTACAGGCTGAGCCACCGAGCCCGGCCGAGATCTCATCTTTTAAAAACAAAAAAAAGTTAACAGTAGCTGAGGTTTTACTAAGGTCCTGTTCTTAGAATTTTACTGGCATTATTTTATTTAATCCTCATATCAAACTTCTATGGTAGGTACCATAATTTCTCTCCATTTTATAGATAAGGAAACTGAAACTTAAAGAGTTTTAGTCACATAGCCTTGACTGACCACGTATGTAACAAGAGCAAGGGCCTCTCCAACTCCAAAGCCATACTCTTAGGCCATATATATGCTCCACTGCCTTTCTCGTGTGCTACTTTTATAATTAGAAAACAGCAAATGTTGTTTAAACATTTAAAAAAGGGACTATTTCTGTCAGTTTGTCTGATAACATTTACTGATCACAATCATTAAAATTCCATAAATACTGGTTGCTCTTCCTTTAGGTGATAAGCTATAGTGATAAAGTGGCTCATCAGACTTTCTTGCTAGAACTTTCCTTGTCATTTTGATTCCTTACAAAATAAAGAGCTCCTGCCAGGCCTGCTTATTAAGACCAGGCTGATAATGGAATTATAACTATGACTACTGCAAAATCAAATCAAAACAAAACCCTACAAAGCAAACACAACTTATTTTATTTAAGGATGGAAAATTTAAAATCTGTCCACAGATTTTTAGTGTCCTTGTTAGTTCCCAGAAGAGTATAAGTGTTGACACCACTGAGACACTAACTGAATGCATCTGAAACCTAAGTCTGATTGTTACTTTAATTTCTAACCTCTAATAACTTATAGCAGGAAGTAGTAGCTACAAGTAATAACTTTATTCCATGGAAACACTTCTATGAGAGCTTCCAAACATAAATAATGGGTAATATTTAGTTTTGAACCTTTGGCCATTTTCTGGGTTGGCTCAGTTACAGCAAGTGCTTTTACTCAAATATATAATTTCTTTTTTCCTACACTCAGATCTTCTTAGGAAGGGATGGAAGAATATAGTTAAGGAGTGCTTCACCATTTAACTCCAAATGTAGGTAAGGAGTGCTTTACATAGCACATATACTGAAGGGCTATTAGAAAAGTATAGCTGCATAGAACTTAACCCTTAACTTTCATATTGCTGACAAGAGTTTCACTTGACGGTCCTTGCTACAGACGTGACCCTTGACACATCAAAACTTAGATAACTCTCCTTCAATCCCTTAGAAATGTCCCTACCCACACAAATTTGGCTTGGTAAGGAAAGTCGCACCTTAAGAAATAAGAGATTAAATATCTGTGCTGACTGGGATAGAGAGGAAATAGAAGATAGAAAGTGGTATGGTGGAAAAAGGGACAGGGTTGCAATTAGCAAATCTGGATACTTGTTCCCAGGACGTCACTAGCTAAATGTTAGTACTTGGTGCATCTACATCTCAATTTTCTTATCTTTCAAATGGAATAATACCTGTCCTGTAGACTCAGGGGATTCCTGAAGGGATAAAATGAGATAATAGATATCAAGTGTCTGAAAACTTAAGAGTTAGAACAAAAATATTAAGGCTTTAATGTGTGTGTATATAAGATTACTAAAAAGTAGTAAATAACATAAAAGAAGCCATGACAAAATCAAGCCTCTGGAGAGGTTTCCACCAAACCAAGTGGCCCTTCCTCAGAAAACTCTTCTGCATGCACTGCCAAGCTTTCTGTCAAGTGGCCTGCCAACCTGGCCCCCAGAGGGAGGAACTGGAAACTGTGTCTTGGCAAAGGCAGTCACCAATACAGGCCAGGTAGGAGTGAGGCTGGTGGTGTGAGAACATTGCTCTGCAGGGATCCTTGCACTGGGTGGCATCACCAAGGAATTCTTGCAGAATTGTAAACACAGACACAGACATGCAGAGCATTAGAGGTAGTGCTATCAACAGAAGTAGAGACATCTGCCTCAGTGCTCCTGGGGGCTGGTTTCTGAGACTTACATGACTACTCACAACCTGGCAGGCATTATAATTAACCCATTACCAGAAGGGGTGTGGGGTTGGTAGACGATATGCTGGTGCAGAATACATTTTAGAAATTTCCCCTCTTTCTTTTGGCAAATAAAATGGCTTAGCTGCAATTGATATGTTAGTCTAACAGTTTAAGTAGATGGTGAATTATTCCATGATGTTAATCCTGATCTAGTGATTCATTAGTTTCTATAAAATGTTCATCATAATATCCTGAATATTAATGAATATGCAGTCTGAATATTAATCTTTTAAAATAAGATAACTGTATAAAAAGCTACCTATTAACCAACTTAGTAATAAGCATTCTTTCCTTACTATTGAAATCTTATAAGTCTAAGTTATTTAGTAATTGCTCCTGTGGGAGTGAAGAGGAGAAATAGAACATGAGTGTGCTGTTGGATCTTTCTTGGCATTTCCAACTTCTTTCACATGAAAACAAATTTTTTTCCCTTTACGTAATTCATACATCTTGAAATCTCTACCCTCAGCCTAAATTTCAAATCCCCTAATCAGTTTATTAAAAGCAAACAAAACAAAGAACAAAGGCAAGAAGATCTGAGTATTTTATCAACAGTAGGACTTCTCACCAAGAAGACCTAAGAGGGACAGAAGACATGAGATTTGAATCCCGACAGGATCTGAGTTTAACACAATACCTCACGGCCAGAAGGACTGCAGCAGCATTTCTCAAAGCATGTTTAGTAGCCACATTCTTCTTATTTCAGTTCCTGTTTCCTGAACATTACCACATCATCATCTTCCCAGTAGTCAGTATTCTACTTTTGCTTCAAAAATGCTCAGAGACATCAATAATTATATTGCATTTTACAATTTATGGTTCACAAACTGTTAAAAACTGTATTTGTTTCTTATAAATAATAAGATCACAAAAAACTTTTCAAGAAAAACTACTTTAGACTGTTAATCTCTTTTTTAATGTATTTGTGTGTGTGTGTATATATATATATATATATATAATTTACATTTTAAAAATGCACTCATGCTAAGTCTACAGGTTAAGAGTTTGAACAAATGAATGCAGCCATGTTACTACCACACTACCCTAATCAAGATACAGAATATTTCCATCTTCCCATAAAGCTCCCTTGTACCCCTTTGCAGTTAATTACCACCCACAACCACTTATCTGATTTCTGTAAAAACAGATCTATTCTCCTTATTCTAGAATTTCATACAAATGAAATCACACAGTTTTCCTCTTGTGTTCTGCTTCTAATCACATATGAGTCTGTGAAAGAATCTTTATACATAGTTACTATACTTCACATCATATTCCTAGTATGCCCTAATTATCCTATTACCTACAGTTGCAGTCTCTTAAAATTATTAACCTCATCTTTGAACGTATAAGTTTTATGGTTAATCCTTTGATATTTTTTGTTGTTGTTATTGAGATGGGGTCTGGCTATATAGCCTAGGCTGGGCTCAAACTCCTGAGCTCAAGTGATCCTCCCAACCACAGCCTCCCAAATAGCTGGGATTATAGGTACATGGCACTGTGCC